TAGCGCCAAGCCCTGGCGTCAAAAATTAGGCTTGGCGCTATCTCAACGCCTGGCGCTAAAGCTAATTGTGTGGCGGTGAGGTTGTTCTACCTTTCTGCAGCACATTTTTGGGTTCCTTGGTACGCCAGTTAGCCCCTCTAAGCAATTTGACATGATTTAGCAATCGGCTTGATTACATAAAGTGATCGACCTGATAAAAAATCGTCTCACTTAGCTTAAAGCGCCTAAGCATTGGTTCATTAACTAACAAAAAGCACTGGTGTATAGGTTCAAAAGCGAAAAAAAAGCACCGACATAATGGTTCATTCGCAAAAGGCGCCGACATATAGGTTCAAAGCAGCAGAAGCACTGACATACTGGCATAGCGGAAGCAAAGTTCAAGCGAACTTTTAAAGATCGACAAGCGTGGGTCTTCGGTAATTTCCTTAGGAAGATTATCGCATCAAATGAGGATGACTTCAAGCGAGGATATCTTCGACGGCATTCCCTAGCTTGCGGAGAGTTGTCACAAACAACTAAAGGTAATTTCAGGCGAAGTTGTCTTCGATCGTGTTCCCTTAGGCATGCAAGATGGTCATAATGCGGAAGGAGATTGTTTCGAAAGAAATAATCTTCGATATTATTCCCTTGGACGTGGAATATTATCAATGCGGATGAGGATTGTTTCAAGAGAAATAATCTTCGATGGTATTCCCTTGGACGTGGAATATTATCAAAGCGAAGGAGGATTGTTTCAGGCGAAGCAATCTTCCGAATTGGAAGCAGTTACAGGCGTAGCAGTTTTCAAGCGGGATGGCATTCTCTAGCTTGCAGGAGGTCATAAAAAAAATCAGCAAAGCGGCAGCAAATTGGTTACTTTTCAGAGACGTGTGCTCGGCGGTGCAAGATACGCGTTTCTTAACTCTTTTATCTGTTTAACTAACGCTAGTTTTGCAGGTATCGGTGTTACAAGAGTGATTTTGGATCGCAGCACGTTATGAATCATTCTCCGTCCCTATCGATACTTTGACTTTTGTTTTCGAAACTTATATTTCTCCAAACTCAGCAAAAGTACGGGCTTCAGTAGACACCCATTTGTGTCTCCCCAAAACCAAATCCAGTGATGAGTATCTTTCACGTTGACTCATAATCGAATGAAGTGAAAGTGTGGAAAGTCTAGTGTTGCGGATAGTTTTTAATTTTTTTTTCTCTTCTCCCTGTTTTTGAAAACTTATTTTAAGAAAACAGCCAATCCAGTTTGGTTGGTCCATGATATGGGTCGAATAAGAATGTAGTTGGATGAGGCTTGCCAAGAGCTTTCCAACGATATATTATAAGCCCAATTCCGATGAATATTGAGGAAGTTATGGCCAATTTACTAAACTTGGCCGGTTTGAGCTTTATATGCGGCCCAATGATCTAGGGGAGGGCCTAATGTGATTTATCATTCCTAATGCAATTAGGAATGGTTTTAGTTTTCTAGATTCTTCTAGAAGATTCTTTTCATTTCTAATTCAATTAGCATTGATAAATTGACTTTTGTTGACTTTTCAGAGTTTTAATTAAAATCAAATAGCATTTTCGAGGAAATTATATGATTTTATCCTCCAGTACGGCAAACTTATCTGATTTTCGAAAACACGTTAAAAAAGGCTTGGCGCCTGACTCCGCGCCTGGCGCTGGTGTTGGTGTCGGCGCCAGTTAGCAAGGGTTTTGCGCCAGCTCTGTTTTTTGTGCGTCAGACTCTGTTTTGTTAATTTTATCTTTTTGGCTGATTTTCTCTATAAATAACGTATTAAAAACTCCGTTTTCATTCACCAATTCTCATCATTCACGTATTCTCACGAATATTCACCTACAATCAGTTTTCATTCAATTAATTCTCATCATTCATCTTTCTCTCTCTTTTCTAAACTTTGCTTTTACATACAAAATTTCGCATTCATTAGATCTAGAAACACCTGGCCATATTCGAAGTTGCCTTCGCCCTAAACGTGAAAGGTTTAATTTCTGAGGGTTTGGTCCCAAATCTCTATTTCAACTATTTAATTTAATTGTTTCATTATTATTTTTCTTGAAGTTACTAACGTGTGTATTTTGTTATTAGAAAAAGGTACGAGGAATCAAAGTAAGTACTTTAATTGATTTTTATTGATATTATGATGTAGACATCATGTTTATATTGTTATTATGATATTTTTAGTATCATGTCTAGGGTAATTTTTTAATATTAAATATGCTTATTATGATTCCTGCGATGCTTTCTATGTTCTTCCTCATATTTATGATTGTTAGTATCATGTTAGGGTTAAAGATTTGATTTTTATTGCTTAGTGACATGCTAGGGTTTGTTATTAATCTTGTTAGTATCATGCCTAGGGTCTTGCTATTATTATGCTTTAATATTAACATGAACATGATAGTGATTATAATTGTTATAATTTATGACTAGTATCGTGCCCCGTGCGATGCCCGGGTTATTTATTAAATTTTAAGATAAATTTTTATTCTATATATATCAAAGTAATGCCTAATAATATTAGTGAAAATGTTTGATTTAATACATAAAAAAAAATTAAAAATTAGCAAAAAATAAATTAAATTAAATAAATGTTCAAATCTTTTTGGGTAGATTCGAACCCAAAACTTTAGGCAAGGGTTGAACAGTTTTGACTCGTAACCTGAAGTGACTCAATCCGAAATTACTCATGACCCGACCCTAATTGACATGTCTACATAGTTATAAAATCTATTAGCTTAGATTGCGAACTATATTATTTTAATCGGTTAGTATATATTATAAATGTATGTTTTACTCCTTGAAGTACTTCCTTCGCTCCAAAAAATATTATGATATAAAAAAGTAAATTTATATGATAATTTTTTAGAATTATAATCTAATAATTTTTTTGAATAAAATATAATTCTATCCAAATAGAATTCTAAACTATTTTTTTATCTTCTGAATTCTATTTAAATCTATCCAACGTGGTGCGACACTCAAATTTTATTTTATTGAAAATAAAACTCTAAATTAACAATTTTATTCTAAAATTCTATCCAAATTTGATTCAAAATAAAATTCTAAACTAACTTTTTTAATCTTATGAAGTGTATTTAAATCTATCCAACGTGACGCGCACTTGGCGAAAAGTTAGAATGCCAAGTATCGCTGTCTCGTGACCTGGCTTAAAGTTTAGCTTTATATATTAGTTATATGATGATCATGAATATTAATATTATTATTTTGATGATGATTATTTTATTTATGATTATTATTATGGCTATTATTATTCATAATATTATTTATTATGTTGCTTGATATTTATTTTTATTGCTTGATCACGCCTTTTATTGCATGTTTAAAGGAAATTTGTACTTGTAATCACGCTTAATAAGATATTTAATAATCTTGTTAAAGTTAATGTGATTATAATTTCAAGTGATCGCCAATAATAGTTTATTTGTGCATTAATATTCAACCAACATAGATAAACAGATTTAGGGCTTAACCTATTGATTGTATGTTAATTAAAAAACGCACATGAATACGATCAGAATAAAGTAGAGGCCTATTATTAGGGCAGGTTCAATCTCTTTTAGGTTGGATTTGTACTTTCATCCCCGAACCCTTATTTGGTTCTAGACCTTATGGAGTTGACGATCTCTTGGATCATTAAGGGGTGTAACCTTCACCCTGTGAACGGTTTACAAGTTCCTAAAACTTGTTGGCGACTCTTTTTCTCTATCTTCTTCCCTTTTGGACGCCACCGTAGTTTAGTGTATGATCACAGTGGGGTTCAAGCTAGGGGTTTAAAGCTTGAAATTATTCCCTACAGTCACTTTTTTAAAATGCTAACTTATTTAAACTACAATGCAATTGTACACACTACCTTATTTTTTAAATACTCCTGAAAGTTTAGTTGTTTCAAAATGCAAATAAAAGCTAATTTGGGAAATGCCACCATCATTGGAGATGGAAAGTACCCAAGAGATTCAAAACAATCTTTAACGCATCACCATACCCTCTCTAAGCTAACCATCAACTAAACATAAGCAAATAATCTTAGATTGGTTTGAGAGAATATGGCACCAAGTAGTTTTGTTAAAAGAACCCAGAGACTCTTCCTTGCTGAGAACGATGGAGGGTACATCAGGTGGTTTTAACTGAGACTTACAGTTTGTTTGGATAAAGAAAGGGGAAGGAAAAGGAGGGAAAGGGAGGGGAGGAAAAGGGAAGGGAGGGAAGGATGGTGAGTTTTCCTTCCAAATCTCTCCATTGTTAGAGGGATCAATTTCCTACAATTTAATCATTCCATTTCTCTCCCCTCTAATTCCCTCCCTTCCTCATTTGCTATCCAAATGAAAGATACTCCATCCCTCCATTTCTCTTCCCTTCCTTTCCCTCCATTTCCTTCAATCCAAACACACCGTTAATGTCAATGGTAAGGGAAATGAGTATGGAAACTTATTTAGTCATTCTATTCATTTATCTTCCTTCTGCGAGAGTGTCTACTCTCTGGCAACTCAAACATCATTAGTATTCTCCAATGTGAGAAATTAACAGCATAACTTATACAACTTGTTATCATTTTCTGAATCTTTCTCTCCTTTTCTCCCTCTATATTTTAAATTGTGTCACAATGATACAACATACTTGATACGACATAATCTCTCCTAGTCTCCTCAATAGACGGTAATGCATATAGTAAACCAAACAATGCTGTACTATCACAGACTGACAGCACACTGATTTCTCAACAGCTGGTATTTTACAGAAGCTTTTGTTCTACACTTATAAATGCTTCTTGATAAATAATTAAATATAGAACTCACACTATACTGAAGTTCAAACATCACACCATCAATTCTCGACGCAACCCAGAATTTCATTAAAAATTAATTCTCATTTAACACAGTAACTTCAAAATACAAAGCACACCAACTAAATTAATCACAACAAAATTATTCAAAACACGGGAAATTTGATGCTATCAAAAATTGCCGCCAAAATGAATTACCTGCATATTCACAGACAAACTTTCCCTCAGGAATGAGCTGAGCAGCAAACAAACCCCAACCCTTATTCTCAACCCTAACAATCTTCAACTCAACATTAAGACCCTTTTGACTCACCCGATTCCCACAACTCAATTCACAATCACAACTCGTTCCGCACTCGGTCCTCATCTCACCACCCCACAACACAGCACAAGAGCAATCCCCATCACAAATCTCACCACAATCACACCCAACAGAGTCAGAAACTCCCATACAAGAATCAAAATTGAAATGGGTATTATAATTAGGGTTAGGGTTTACATTACTTCCCCAAAATTGACGAGCAAAACTGGGGGAAGAGGTAAGGTAAGTGGGGGTGTAGAGGAAGAAAGTGTAGGGGTGAGAATCGACGGAGTTGATGAAAGGAATGGGAAGGGGTTCGAATGATCTGGAAGCGTCGGAGGATCGGACGGTGGTGATGAGTTTGGAGAGGTGGGATAGGGTGTGGCAGGTGCAGGATATGGAAGCGAGTTCTTGAGGTGTTAGCCATGGAAGTATGAGCTCTGAAATTGATAGGAAGGGAGATGGTGGTATTGGTGTGTGTTGGGCGTGGCGCTTTGAAGTAGGCGCGCTCATTGCTACGTGAATGAATACAGAAAATATGGAAAGGGGATGTAATATACTCCCTCTAGATAAATTCTCTTCTTCATAAATATTTAACCATCTATTGTTGTCAAAATTGAAAATACCATCTCAATTTTATTATATTTTTTAAATTTTACCACCTAGTTTTTTCCAAAAGTTTTTAAAATCCCACCACTTTGAGACCCACAAATTCGTTTTCTCTCTCTTTCTCTCGATTTCCCCTGTTCTTCTTCCCTCTTTCAATTTCATCTCTGAAATTTGTTGTCATTTACAAAAATTTGCGCAAATTAGGTTATAATTTATACAGTCTAACCTAAAACGAAGTGAATTGATTAGATTAATTAGGGTTTAGGTAATTAATTTGAAGGTTTTGCTAAATTGGACAAATTAGGGTTTATGAAGTTAAAATTAAATGAATAATTGGACAATTAAACAAGTAATTACCACGAAAACACAATTCAACATGCAATTGGACGAAAACACTAACATTGTAGTGGTGATTAATCATTTCGATGATCATGTTCATATACAAAAAAAAAATAAAAAAAAAATAAAAATACAGCATTACAGCACAAAGAAAATGAGAGAGAGTGAAAAATGAGTGTTGAATGTTAGGGTTTAACAATAAATTTGGGTGGGTGAGAGTACAATAATGGGTATTGAAGAAGAGAGAGATGAAATTGAAATAGGGGACTTGAGGAATAGGGGAAATCGAGGGATAGATATGAATTTTTACTAAGCTACATGTACGGATTGATGTGTGCAAGTCAAACAAGTCCTTGTATGAAATTTTCTAATGCACTCAAGAATCTTAGTGCTCAAATTTTTTCGAGAACCTCCTAGTTTTAGAATGATGCAAAGGAAATTTGTCTGAAGATAATTCTTTTCTGATAAAGTAGCTTATTGAAGGCTTATTTAGTTATTTGTTATTTCTGCAATGTACTGAAGGCTTATTTGATACTTTTTTTTAGAGAAAAACACCAATGCCTTTTTTATTTTGCACTCCCTAAATCCCTCATGAGTCGTTTACTATGTTACTTGATTTTGAAGTTACTTGGTGACTTGATGCACTTTATTCATGGTAGAGTATTATTAGAGAACTTTGCTTGATGTAGTTTAGAATTTGAAAGAATATCATATAGGTTTTACTATATACTGTTATTGTAATCTCTCTTCACTTACAGGCAACATAAGTAGCTTTAGTTTAGAAGAGAGATGTTGTAACTTGCTTGGCTAACTGACCTTAGATATGGACCTGTAAATCTGTAAAGTCAATCAGGTATAGTTCAACGCCTTTTGGAACAGAGGTGGATTTAGCTGAGCCGTCAGTTGGTGGTGAAGTAACAAACTTATTTGAGCTAGTTGGCAGTGATGAATCTGGTCTGACTCGATTATTACAACATCCTGGTTTTGAAGTATCCAACTGACTACAGACAAGCGTATTCTAACTCAACTATAATAGATCCTCTCTTCGAAGCTTGAGAAGAACCAATGCATAAGCGCTACCATCATCATTTGATTATTTGAATATTTTGCAAAGCTTTAGACGACGGATATATGGATGATCAAAATTCAAAAGTTTTCTATTGAAACCCATTGTAGCCCAGTTATTAGTGTCCCACATTGGAGAAAGAGGAGAGATAGTTTCACTTTATAAGGTAGAGAAGTACCTGTAACACCCCCAAATCTCCCTCTACGGAAATATTAGTATGATACGTATAATTATACCGTAGAGATAGACTTAGGCGTATTACCGCCGCGTGATTACGCAAGGCTACTCAACTTACTAAAAATAACAATACTTTGCAGCGGAAACTTCAATACTCTTCTTTATTAATAATAACCATAATAGTAACCAATGTTATGAGTACTCCAAATAGATACAAGACCAAATTCCTAATTTAGTGAAAACCAATTCCTCATATTAAAACCAATTCCACTCCCAAGTGTACACACCCCCCAAGCTAGTCTCCTTATTTTACAAGTCTATTCTTGAGGAAAGACCCGGTCATACAAAGTCCAAGGCCTTATCAATAAACCAAATCCGCGTAGTGGGATTACTAACATGCTTATAAAGCATAAATAATAATAGATTTATGATTCAATAAATCCTCTTTTAAATCCAATAATTTAACCTTTAATGAAAACAATCTAAATTCCTTTTCAATAAATCCAACTTGCTTTCAAAATCAATCTTTTTAAACATGAATAATAAATTAATTAATCAAAACATGTTATAAAAATCAATACTCCAATTCAATCATTAAAACCAATCCTTTAAACATACTTTTAATTCATAAACCATAATTCAATTCATCATAAAATCATTCAAACATGTTATTCAAATCGATCGCTTTCAAGGTATCTAGCCACCTAACGTACCTTGATCCTTGCTTAGCCAAAAATTACTTCAAAAGAACTCTCAAGTAGCTTGATCAAAAACACCCTACAAATAAATATAACCTTAATTAATATAAGGTTATCAAATAATCACAAACAATTAAATTAAACCCTCCCAACTATATGTACATGAACCTCTTAAATTAATTCAACATGAACATTATTAAAATCTAATTTTATATAATTAAAACTACTCATAATAATTTCATATTAATCTCCCATAATAATAATAATAATTGAATAAAAGAAAAGGAGAAGAAAAGAATTGGATTTGCGTAGGAAATAATAGGCAGAACTTTCAGAGGCTATAACTCCTTCGATATAGCTCCGAATTGGGTGATTCTTGAGCCTAACCACAAGGATTTTTCAAGAGGAATTTGTGAAACGTCACTACCCTAAAAACTGACCAGAAGTTCCCGAAAATTGGCTTCAAAGATGAACGGGATGATTTGTGTAAAATTGAGGAGAAGAAAAGAAGAGAACTGGTGTGAAGAATGTGAGAGGTATGAAGGGATATTTATAGGCTAGTATGAGCATGAATTATGGTAGGAAAATGTAGGAAAAATTATGGTAATTAGGGTTTAAGAGATTACTTGGAGAAGTGAGCAAAGATTTAAGGAAAGTTTTGATATTTGAAGGGATTGTGTATAATTGAATATGGAAGGTATGTATGTCATGAAAAATATTTAAGGAAATTGGGATTGCTTGGGGAATAATTAAGAAGAATGAATGGCAAGAAAATATAATGATTGGATATCAAAAAGATGGAGAATTAGAATTATGGAAAATAGGAGATTTTAAGAAGATAATTAAAAATACAAATTACCAAAATATTTTCCCAAAATCTTCATGGGATGGCCGAAATTTTTGAGCTTTCCTAAGCTCATATTTTCGGCCCTCCTATTTAGTATTTAGGAATATATTTTGCTAGTTTTAAGGAATTAAAAATAATTGTGTAAATAATATTTATTGTAATAAATAATTAAATAATAAAATACCAAATATTCACCAAATAATTTAACTAAATAAAAATCAGATTTTCAAATAGGAAAATCCGAAATTATTAGCTAATTAATTGGGATTTTCGGACCTAACAAAATATAGCTTTTGCCTTAATTAAAATATCCGAAATATCTAAATAATCCGGTTTTTAAAATAGGATAAATGGATAATAAATCTTATCCAAAATAATAATTTGTTTTTAAAATACTTTTGGCGCCAAAATTCAAATATCATTTTTGCTCCAAGATTTAAATAGTAAGTTGAAAATACGTATGAAAATAATAATTAATTGGGAAAATACGTATGAAAATACGGGGTATTACAGTCTACCCCACTTAAAATAAGTTTCGACTCGAAACTTAGCCAAAAGAAACGAAAATCATTTTGAAATTATTGGTTCATGCACATCCTAACTTGACTCAAGACTCCAACTAAACTTAAATAAGACTCGAAATCCCTAAAAATGACTCGAAAAGTAGACGCGCGAAACTCTATCGCCCTCTACCCCCCTTAAAAGGAGTTACGCCCCTGTAACTCGACCACTAACCTTAGGCAAATAGTTCTGGGTAACGTTTCCTCATATCAGCCTCAGCTTCCCATGTAGCCTCTTCAGTTTTCTGATTTGACCACAATACTTTCACAATGCTCACATCCTTGTTCCTTGTGCTCCTGACCTTAGAGTCAAGAATCTTTACTGGTCTTTCCTCATAAGTCAAATTCTCATCCATCTCAATGGTTTCTGGTTGTAACACATGTGTCACATCAGGAATATACTTTCGGATTTGGCTCACATGAAACACATTGTGAACCCTTTCAAGCTCGTTAGGCAAATCCAACTTATAAGCCACTTTTCCCACTTTCTGAATGATCTCATAAGGCCATATGTACTTTGGGCTTAATTTCCCTTTCTTCCCGAACCTCATCACACCTTTCATGGGTGAAATTTTCAACAAAACCTTTTCTCCTACTTCGTACTCCTCTTCCCTCCTTTTCAGATCAGCATAACTCTTCTGTCGATCTTGGGCCACTTTAATCTTTTCTTGGATCAACTTAACCTGCTTCACCATATCCTCAATTATCTCTGGTCCAAGAACCATAGTCTCACTTATATCATTCCACCATACTGGACTTCTACACTTTCGACCATACAAAGCTTCAAACGGTGCCATCCCAATGCTTGCATGGTAACTGTTGTTATAAGAGAACTCTATCAAATCCAAGTGGTCTTCCCAAGACCCTTGATACTCCATCACACAAGCTCTTAACATGTCCTCTAATGTCTGAATCGTTCTTTCTGTCTGACCATCTGTCGCAGGATGAAATGTTATGCTCATTAACAATTTAGTTCCCATCGCCTTTTGCAAACTTTGCCAAAAGTTGGACAAAAATCTTGAATCTCTATCCGAAATGATATCCGTGGGTACCATGTGGTACTTCACCACAAACTTCACATAAGATCTTCCTAACTGATCCATGGTCCAAGTACTTCTCATGGGTATGAACGCTGCTGACTTCGTCAACCTGTCCACTATCACCCAAATAATGTCATTTCCTGCCTTGGTCTTCAGCAAATCTCCCACAAAATCCATAGAAATCGAATCCCATTTCCACTTGGGCACCTCCAAGGATGGGACCTTTCCTTGAGGCCTGCGATGCTCAATCTTCACCTTCTGGCATGTCAAACACTTAGCCACAAATTCAGCCACTTCTCTCTTCATATTGGGCCACCAAAATGTCTTCTTCATGTCCTTATACAACTTATCCCCTCCAGGATGCATTGAATAGGGAGAATTATGGGCTTCTTCCATCAATCTTTTCTTCAAATCACCAAGATTCTGCGGTATACACCATCTTCCTTTAAAACGAATACTTCCCTCATCACCAATGGTGAAATCCAACACTTGTCCTTCATCAATCTTCTTCTTGATTGCTTTCAACTTCTCATCTTCCAATTGGCTATCCCTTATCTCATCATAAATGGATGGTTGAACCACCAAGGCATTCAACATCCTTTCCACTCCACCATGTTCCATCACCTCCAAGTTCAACTTATGAAATTCCACACACAACTGATCTGGGACTACCATCACATTCACCGTATGTTCTGACTTTCTGCTCAAAGAATCTGCCACCACATTAGCCTTTCCCTCATGATACTGAATATCCAATGTATAATCACTCATATACTCCAACCATCGTCTCTGTCTCCCATTCAAGTGTGTCTGGGTGAAAATGTACTTCAAACTCTTATGATCCGTGAAAATCCTACAAATCACCCCATACAATCCAAATCTTCAAGGCAAACACAGTTGCAGCTAACTCCAAATCATGGGTTGGGTAATTCCCTTCGTGAACCTTCAACTGCCTCGAGCATACGCAATCACCCTTCGATTCTGCATCAACACACATCCCAATCCCAACCTTGATGCATCACTATACACGTCATATAGATCACTCCCTTCTGGCAAAGCCAGCACAGGTGCTGTGGTCAACCTTTCTTTCAAGATCTTAAATGCCTCCTCACACTCTTGGGTCCATGAGAACTTATGCTCCTTCTTCATCAAACTTGTCATGGGCTTTGCGATCCTTGAAAAATCCTTCACAAACCTTTTGTAATAGCCTGCTAAACCCAAGAAACTCCTTACATCTGACACATTCTTTTGGGTTGGCCAATCACTCACAGCTCGAATCTTGCTTAGGTCCACTGAAACTCCGTCCTTGGAAATCACATGGCCCAAAAATGCTACTTTCTCCAACCAAAACTCACACTTAGACAACTTGGCTTACAACTAATGCTCTCTTAAACATGACAACACTTGTCTCAAATGCTCCTTATGCTCTTCTTCATCCTTTGAATATATCAAAATATCATCAATAAACACCACTACAAACTTGTCCAAGTATGGCCTGAAAATCCTATGCATCAAGTCCATGAACACTACAGGTGCATTGGTCAAACCAAATGACATAACTGTGAACTCATAATGACCATAACGGGTCCTGAAAGCACTCTTTGCAATATCTTGCTCCGCAATTCTCAACTGGTGATAACCCGATCTCAAATCTATCTTTGAGAATACCCCTGCTCCTTTCAACTGGTCAAACAAATCATCGATCCTTGGTAATGGATACTTATTCTTCACTGTCACCTTGTTTGACTCTCGATAATCTATACACAACCTCATACTTCCATCTTTCTTCTTCACAAACAATACTGGAGCTCCCCAGGGTGATGAACTAGGCCTAATATAACCTTTCTCCAACAAATAATCCAACTGGGTCTTCAACTCCCTCAACTCAGCTGGAGCCATCCTATATGGAGCCTTAGAAATGGGTCCAGTTCCAGACACTAGATCGATAGTGAACTCAACATCCCTCACTGGTGGCATATGAAGAATCTCATCCGGAAACACATCTGGAAACTCTTCTACAACAGGAATACCCTCTTCACCTTTCTTTTCCTCACTTTCAACCTTTTGAACACTACACAAAAACAAAGGACAACCCTTCTTAACCAGCTTATGTAGTTGCATTGCAGACACAATTCTCAACCCCAAGCTTTTCCCTTCCTTTTTATACACTACTCTGGTTTTACTTGGGCTAGTCAAGGTGACCTTTTCAGCCGCACAATCAATTTTTGCTTCATACTTTCCCAACCAATCCATATCCAGAATCACATCAAAGTCATTCAAGTCAAACTTGATCAAATCAGCCAGAAACTCAACCCTAGAGATGGAAATAAGCACACTAAAAAACAATCTCGAACAACTCCTCACTTCCCCAGACTTAATAGACACATCTAGAGAAACTGACTCAGGACTCTCTAACCCGAGACTCCCAACTACTTCCTTAGAAATAAAAGAATGCAACGCCCCTGAATCAAACAAGACTTTCACAGGAAAAGAACTTATAAAGAAAACACCAATTACCACATCATTAGCAAACTCAGCCTGCCGACTATTCATCACGAACACACGACCCTTTGGGGCACCTCCCTCACCACTACTGGTTCCAGCCTTGGTTGTAGGTCCACTAGACTGAGGTGGTTTACTAGGTGTACTAGACTCTTTCACTTTACCAGACTTGACATCAGCTTCCTTCTTGAAACACTCATACTCATGGTGTCCCAACTTCTGACAGTAACGATAAGTTACCGGGTTTCCCTCACGGTCCTTCCCTGGGTGGTCTTTTTCACACCTCTTGTAGAAATACTTCTTCTTGGGCTTCTCACCCATTTGGTTCCCATTCCCTTTATGGTTGGATGACTGTCCCCCATTCCCCTTCCCAAAGTTCCCCTTGTCGTCCCTCCCATCTCCAGAATTCCCTTGGTAATTTCCATTAGGCTTGTGCCTCTTTTCACCCCCGTGAAAAGAGTTTGGGTTCTTCCTTTTCTCTCCCACTTGCTCCATCTCCCTCCCCTTAATTCCGTACAGATGGGCTGCACGGCCATAGACTTCATCTAGGGTCTCGAAAGTCACTCTCCCTAGCTTCCCTTGGAGGGTCAAGGTTAGGCCTTGCTCAAATCTTTGAGCCTTAATGGTTTCAGTAGGGACTACTTCCAGGGCAAACCTCATCAACTCAATGAAATTGTTGTAGTATTCACTGATTGACATGTTTCCCATTCTTAGGTTGGTAAACTCCATACATTTCTGCTTTCTAAGGTAGGAAGGGTAAAACTTTTCTCTCAAGGCCTTCTTGAACTCATCCCACCCAAAGTTTGGTCTTTTCAGCAACTCATCCTTTCTTTGGGCCCACCATAAGTCAGCTTCCTCCCTCAAGTAGTAAACCCCATTGTTCACCCTCAGCTCACTTGGGCAATTGATAGCATCAAACAGCTTGTCAAACTCCCTAATCCGGTTTTCAAGGCTGGCTGGGTCCTCTTTTCCCAAGTAAACAGGTAGTTTAGCTGCAGCTACCCTCTTAAAGACTTCACTATAGGCATCAAGCTCAGGATTTCGGTGTTCCCTATTCACCACCTTCGTGATGTTCTTAGTAATTTGGGTCAACTGCTTAAGGACCTTTCCAACTTTGGAACCAGTGCACATACTCCTTAAATGTTCCCTCATTCTTGGAGACATAATTCCTGGGTATGATTATTACACTTGGAAATCAAAACAAGTTCTACTCATACAAGCATTTAATTCACTTAATAACATAGAGAAATTTCAAATAATTCATTTTAATTATTTCATTAATAATTAATGAAAATACAACTTTGTCACTTAGGACAATTATTTAAACATGAAACAAAAACATAGTTCAAAAACAATCAAATAACACTATGGGCATAACCATCTTCAATAGGATTATAATCCGGATCATCACTTCTATTGCTTGGTTCGGCCATGAGAGTTGGGTTATAACCACTATAGCTTGGAATAAGGCCTGATGAGCTTGACCCAGATTTACTTATATTTCTGTCTGGGGCAAGAGTGTAACTTGGGCTTTTTGTTGAACTTACATCCCTACAAGGTTGGCTTGAAGAAGATTTGGGGTTTTGGGCTCTTTCTTTTGCCGTTTGAGAACGAGTTCTAGGCCTTTTATCAATGTGGAATTGGGCTTTTGGGCTAGAATGTTTGAAGATTCAAAGCTCAAAGATTGGCTAAGAGTGTTAGGGTTTGGTGAGTCCGACTCACCGCGGAAACAAACCCCGACCCAAGGAACCACTCGCAATAATTAAAATCATAAAGCATAAATAAATAATCACTAAGAAAAGATAACGAATCTTACCCTCGAAGCGAGCTTCGCCCAAAAATCGGGGCTCTTACTTGAAAGCTACGAGCACGTCAAGCGCCGCGCCTCCAACGGTATCCACCCACAAAAAGGCGAACACAACTTTAAGGTCTACTACCTAGGGGTTAGCGAGGTCCGACCAAAACCCGAGTGTTATATGAGTTTAAGAGTTTTTCCAATATTATGGAATGATCTTTTTAACTCCCACTCAAGCATCATTTCCTATGCCCAAAGTTGGGTATTTATAGGGAATGATGGAGTATGAAAATCTCTCCCATCAATGTGGGACAATGAGATTTTCTCATTTTATTTTAAAGCTAAAATAAAATTATTATGCAAACTAGTAATAAATCAACAAGTGTCAAGCATACATGAGAGAGTAGGTGAGGACCACTTGGAGATGGGGACCAAACTTGCTCCCCACTCTCTCCCTCACCTTGTGCCACATGGCAACCCACTTGCTCCCAACCTTCCCCTTATACACGGCCCTATGGCCCGAGCCAAGCCACGAGCCAAGCCCGAGCCCGGCCCGAGCCCAGCCCGCACCCAGCCCGCATCCACCCCGCACCTGGCCCGCACCCAGCCCGCACCTGCTGCTGCCGTGGCGCGGCGCGGCTGGCTGTGGCTGCAGCACGGTGTGCCGGCTCGTCTTGCCTTTAGCATTCGGATGCTCGGGGCACTCCGATGCTAGGGTATTTTCGGGAATATTGTTGATTTATTATTATTTTGCGTGTCTCGTCTTTTATTATTTAGACTCGACTTCCGACGATCGGTTTCGACGCTCTAAGCTCGAATTACCAACGTCTAATTATTTAACACTCGGGTGACGAATTAATTTCTTCCGAATTAATTCGTCGAGTTGGTTCGCATATATTTGCTTGGGTGTGACCCGAAGGGTTCAGTCAAGATTAAGCTGTAATATTAATTATATTAATATTACTGATCGGAAGCGGCCTCCACCCAGGCATTCCGATCACTTGACCTTACTGAATATATTAGCTTTCTAATAATTCTGAACCCGCTATCAGAATAATACACTTGTTCGAAGGACACTATTCCTTTCAATCTCCCACTTGTCCTTCCGGACAAGTGTGCATTTTGTGTATAGCCCTTATCCTATGTCTCTTCATGTCTCTTCATGAACTACAGAGTAAGATTACTAGTCATCTCTGTTACGTCCAGAAGTGTTTCTCAAAATCCGAGTTTGACTGTCAATAAGCAGATGATTTCTAAAATCCATCTGAGCACGACCATGCATTTTTCACAGTCTCGCTCTTCGAGAGGCCTTGTAAACAACAAGACATGTTCCCTATTGTTAGTAGGGGGACATTTCCAGTCTTGTAATGTAGCTTCTCTTACTAAGAGGACTCACCTGCCCAATATCTGTCTTTATAATCCCCAGTTACGGCGAACGTTTGGCGGATACCAAAGCGGATCAGTACTCAAACAAGAGATCTCCCACTACTCATGGTCAAAGGAAAAGAGTTCCGATAGTAATAATGAGAAAATACTTATGACGATTTTAAATCTCTTAAAGTATCCTCATAGGTCGATCCAGTATGGTTCTAAACCAATACCTGTGCAAATGATTTATATCCTCATAGCACAAGAAACGGTGCTATAAATCATACTACACACTAATCTCTGATGGTCATTAATCGTCCACAAAATATGACCTTGATTAGGGATAATTTTCGATTAAAATATTCAATGTTCACTTTAATAGGTGTTTCTTTATCCAAGCCATTGACTTGATACCCTTTTTTGAATATTTATTAAAATCGAATGGACTCATTATTTAATTCTAAACCACAATTAAATAGTTTTGTGGAATATTTAGAAATATTTTATTCCACTATGAAACTTCACAATGTTTCATCTTATGATAAATGGTTTTTCCCAAATGTTTAAAGAGTAATACTCTTCATAAAACATTCATAGAAATCACACCCATATTTGATATGCTTGATTTCTTTCATGTAATTATGAATGTTGTCGTTCATTTATTGCAAAGGTTTAGTTATAATTACTTTGCAAACCTTAGCATCTTCATTATCCACCATTTCCATAATAAGATGATAAAATTTTGAGAGTGTTAATGGATTACATGTGATTCAGGATTTATTGTCCAAGCAATGGCTCCCACTCATTTTCATGATTTGAGACCTTCTACTTGACAACCTACAATAATCAACGTTCAACAACGAACTTTTCCATTTAACATCTTTCCTTATTATTGCCTTTAAGGCAACAATATTCTCAACATATATTTTAGTAGACTCCCTGATGATGCCTTGCTTGGGTTTCACTCCAAGCGACTCACAACGATTTGGGACACCCTAATCACTTGTGATCATGGAAATTTTCCTTAAATTCCCGCACATTATACATGGATGCACATCCATGTTACCATTCTCAAGCCACAACACTTCTTGCCTCGTGCTTATAAATGGCTTCCTTACTAAGGATCTAATCCTTGTTAAGGTTTGTGCTTGCAACATCAAAACTCAAATTATATTTGTTTCCATGCGTCAAGAACTCATCCAACTACTTATCTAAGTTCTTTGGATGTTCTTGACTATAATCTAATGATCTAATACTTAGATTAATGTCGATTGGTATTATATACGTACTTCACATGCTCTAAGCATGTAAGTCATCTGACGATTCCATATCATAGCCTTACATGATGGATTTAATTCTAGAATGATTCTCAATTTTATTCCATCCATGTGACATTTAGCTCATACAGTTACACTGAGTCTTGCCAAATTGTTCGCTGTATGATATGATTGAAAATCTCTTACTAAAGTCTTTCTTGTTTGATTTAGTACTTATCCTAGCTTATACTTAGGTCAAACATTTACTTAGCTTCATACATATGGGTCGAAAGCCTTTCAAAGTCTTTCATGTTTAACATGGTAATTTCTTTTACTCATTTAAACATTTAATTAAGTCTATACCATAGAACTTAATTCCTAACATGTACTAAGTATCGTCTTTAGCTCGGTCCATTGTCGAAAATACTTTCAAATCTAAACATTTAGCATTTGATGGTTGTTTCACAATAGAGTTCGTAAACTTCTTGTTGGACCATTACTTTTGCTCCCACTAAACTTCTTGTTCATCAGAATTTTTTATGTTTCTCCATAAGTCAATCCTCTTATTAACTTTATGAGAAAACACGTTCCAATTCCTTCATGCAATGCTTCCTTTAATCCCATGACGGATTCCATGTGCTTGCTTTCAAATCTAGCATTATTTAGATTTTCAAAACCCTTAGACTATTCCATAGTCACTTCCAAAATTCCATTTTGGGAAGGCGGTTTCGGTATCTATTTTGCCATATTTCATATGCGCAACTTTGCTAGATCAATCACGAAAAGACTTGAGCATTCCGATTGGTGAATGGGATTTTATTAAAATCAACTCCTTGAAATTAATTATATCCTTTACAACCAATCTAGCTATGTATGCATATACATTTCCACATTTGTTAGTTTTCTCCTTGAAAACTTATTTGCAATCGATGGGTCTTTCATCTTTCATGCAAATTAATCAAGTTTCAAACATGATTTTCAAACATGGAGTCTATTTCGGATTTTCATGGCTTTTAACCATTATTCGGAATTTGGATTTGTCGTAGCTATCTTACAAGACATTATTCCTTTACTATCTAATAGTAAATAGTATGCTTGTAAGTCTTAGGTTTGTTTCTAACTTAATAGAAAATTTATAGGATTCAATCCAAGCCTTTGGTGAATTCTATACCTATACGGGGCAATTGCATCAAATACTGAGTTTTAAGGCGCTTTCAAAGCCCTTTTATTATGTTGATCTTACTCCAACATCTTTAATGTTTTGTGAGTAATGAATTATCTTCTAAGGCACTTGTAAAGTCCTTTTGAGTATTCTTGATCAAGCATTATCACGAAGTCCTTTAAGGTCTTCCGAGATTCTCAGTTCTAGTTTGTTGCTAAGATCGATGGTCATCGAGTTCATTTTCCTCCCACTTGTCGTTTTGGAAACGTGTTACTTTCCAGAAAGACACTACTTAGAGCAACAAACAATTTTTGTTCTCAATTAGGATGTGGAGGTAATACCCGTAGTCTCACTTGAATGCTTACAAAGAGACATGTATATTGTCTTTGGGTAAAAGTTCGTTGTGAAACAAACAGTTAGCTCCTACTTGAGCTATCTTAGTCTTTATTGAGCCATTCAGCTCCCACTGAGTCACCTAGCTCCCACTGAGCCACTTTGCTCCCACTGAGCTAGTGAACTCCTACTGAGACTAAGAGCCTTAGACATATACTTGAAAAGACTTTTAGAAGTTATTTCTATCCAT